AGCGTCAGTGACGCACAACATTCGGCAACGTAGAGTACAATGAAGGGACCGCGATAAAAAGGCCATCAGTGTGATTAAGAAACGAATCGATGCGTGAAGAAATCCTTGAAGTGACTCTTTTACAATACTAATACGGTATCAATTTATCGGTGTTACGATGTGCAACATATTTTAGGCAGCGGTCGCGCTATCTACATATTTAAATGTTACAAACACTATCGAGAAAACGCGAAATTCATTCCGGTTTCATCGAAAGATTCGGGCACGATTGAAAAGCTAACTTCGAGGATGGACTACATTTTTATTTGGTCTTTCTACGATATCATTTCGTTATCAAACTTGCATTCGTTACGTAATTGTTACGGGGCCTGGCCAGTTTCGTTTCGCGCGCGTGGAGAATGCGTGACCGACTGTTTGTCTGTCATTCCATCTGTCTCTCTCCCACGCATGCGCGGAACGTGGCATTCTGAAAAGGTAACGAGAAAGCACGTGTCCGAGAATCACCGTTATGGGACGCACAATTATTGTACAATATCCAGCTATTTTTAGTCACGAGTGAATGCACTCTAAAGAGAAAAATGCTATAAATTCAATGGCGTGTATTTATAACATTCACAAATCTATTTCGCTTGCATCCCATTTCTGTTTTATGAACATCCACCTGTAGCTTCTGGTATTCAAATGGAAAGTTCTTACTGTATACTCGTGCCAACCGAATCTCAAATTATCATTAATGCAATTACGTCACGCGTCGAAATTTCTACAGTAATTTAAACAAAATGGTCAATTATTTGTGCACTGGAGGAAACGACAGATATCTGTCAGCTAAAGCATATTGCAGAAAGTATAATAATTGATCGGTCTCCACCTGATGCAAAAATAGATCAAAGACCAAACGTGAATCAATAAACATCAAGAATAAACGATGGATACAAGAATGATTCACGCGGCCGATCAAAGTGTATAATTGCATATTAATTCTGCAATCGCAGGAAGAGAAAAATAATATTGCAGATCGCATGTTTTTGTTTCCGTTACAAATTTTACAGTTTTGTAAAATATCTTTCTTAGATCTAATTCAATTTGGAAGCATCACGTAGCAATTTCTCATACGTACATCTCTCCCATTACACGTCCTGTAATACCCGGATACTGTAATGGGAAAAGGTGGCAACCCTAGTATCATGTTGAGCTCGGTGCCATTCTTATTCAGGCGCATAGTCACGTAGACCGCTCCATGCTCTAATTACTTTCGCCTCTTATTTAATTTCTGCTTCATTTTTTTTTTATTCGTGATTCATTCTTGACGAATATTATCTATTTTAATCTATTATTGTTAGGCTGCAGGATACCGATGCAAATTACCAATTTTATATTTACTCACGATAAAAATAGAATAAAAATATTATCTATTTTCAAATTACAAAAATTTAATGGAAAAAATATTAACCACATCAGCTTCTTCACAGAGTCTGAATTTATACGCAAAGAATGTGTTAAAAGTTCGAATTTTTAAAATAATTTGCAAAATTTTCCGTTTACGTTTTATCGTTATCGAATTCATAACCTTATCATCGCTCAAACGTCTATATTTTACAGAACTTTACACCGACAGTTTTTAATTCAGTTTGATGTTTAAAAAGACAGCTACAAGACTATTATATTCCAGATGGAAAATGATATTTTTACGTTTTCATTAATTACAATATCAAAATATGAAGCACATTATGGTTATTTGTTTTATATGAGATAACTCGTAAAACGCCACCTATTATCTCATTTCAATTGTTTGCAATTGTGTGTGGTTACATATACCTAGAGGGATTACCCAAATTTCTTTCAAATATATCTAAAACTAACAATGAACTTTATCTAGAAACCTGTATACTACCTGTTCATCTTTTCATCTATTAATTACTGTTAATTGCAAACTTATCAATCTTTCAAAATATTATCTAAAATACAAATTTTGCAATCTAACCAAATGTTACGCCTTCAAAAAAGTAACTTTCTGCCAGTTTACCTAATATCACAAAATTAGTAACTTAGTTTACCTAATAACACAAAAATTCTGCCAACTATGATGTAATAAAATGCAAGAATTATTATAAGGAATAGGATGGATATTTACCATAATCATGAGCATATTTAAAAACAATGTATAAACACATAAAAAGCAATACATAACAAAATACACAAAATTACTGTGAAGTGAAATTAACTAAAATAATAATAAAAATATAATAATATATACTGAAAATAATAAAAAGATACATACTTGAAAAATTTCGTCTGTTGCAATGTCTCATAATATTTTGACAACGTCTTCAGAAGCGAGCTGTAATTTATGGTACTAGCCCTCAATATGTCATCGGCTAGTTCCGGAATAAAAACAGCATCGGTCTTCTGTTCCTTGATAATGTTTAGTTCCTTGGCGACCAAGTCGTCGTGCAACTTCATGTACTTTTCTTTTGCTTTCTGCAGTTTGTTGTTCTGTTGATGATGCGCCACTGCCGGCTCCATGGATTCTATACCAAGCGATGTACGAAGACACATGGTATTTCTCTTTGGCAATCAAGTCAAGTTTGTACGTGAAGAAAAATAAAGACAGCGAATTAGGTCTTGAAATGTGATAAATAATGTTTCACTAATTACACCAACAGACACTATCAAAATTTCGTGCGAAAGTTTTAGAATGAATTTAGAAACCGCGGGAGATCAACGCGATCGCGAACTTGTACTACCGCACAGTACGTCGTTCCGTGGACGTACTCCCCTTTTATATATCCCCCACCACTGTTTCACGATCGGCCAACCCACGGGTCCTAGCGACCGAAAAGCGAAAGGGTGGCCCATTTGGAAATCCTAAATTCACCAAAGTTAAATTCACTCGGATATGTGTAATATTATAGAATTATTAAAAAATCATTTACAAAATTACCGATTTTATTTTCTCCTGTAACAATTTGTTAAAACTGCCTCAAACAATTTAAATAGGATAGCAAGTGTTACACAATATGTACTTTTGTTGAATTTCCATGTTGCTTTCTGTCGATGGAAATCGATAAAGCTGTCAACATAATGTGATTCATTATTTCATTTATCTCAGAAAGAAAAAAAGTAATCTTGAAGATTGTATGCATTAAACACAAACGAGGAAATGTCAAAGTTCATTAACTTGTGTTTTTCTTGTCGTTAAGATTATCGTGTATGATCGAGCGATAGCAGTTCTGGGTCAACATCCTTATATTTTCCGTATGTTGTTGTTTGTTACTGTCATCAAAAGGCGGGAAAATGTTTCTATTAAGTTGTTTTCAGATCCTTCATATACTTATATATGGTATCTAACCTCGTAATTTAATTCTTATCTTATTTAATATTTCCTTGTTTTATTATTTATTCAGTCACTTGTTATGGATGACTTCTTCGAAAGAAATCAATGTATGTATTATTCAGGCCCTGAAGTTACTGTGAGCTCTCTGTGCTGCAAGGAACCGGACCGGACACGGAAAAAGAAAATGAAGAACCAAGGCATGCAGTGCATCTTTCGAAACCACACTCGGTATTATTTGCCAATCATTGCATTCTGCCGGATGATTTCAGATTAAAGATCGCTAACAGTAATTAATACGTTAATGAAACGTACTCGTTCAATTGTCTTATTTAAAAGTACAACTTTCTATACAAATTATTATTATAACAAAAATAGAGTAAACGTGTTCGCAACATTTTGCTTGTATAGACGCCATCTGTCAGCAATTGTTCTAAAATGCAACTGTAACGTAATCTATGGTGCAAATTAGACATTATTTTTTCAAGATTGTAAAGAAACTTGTTTTATCCACATATTCGACTGAATATTTTTCACTTGAAATTGTACTCGAGAGTAATAAGAATGATAACTGATATATAATCGTCCTCCCTCTTGCGTGTATGAGGAGCTATAAAAGCAATTTAACGCTGACGAATCGATGAGCCTGCATCTTCGCATTCTGTCCCATTATACGCACACGAAAGCATGTTGTATCCTTGTCTGACAACGAGTTAAAAGCGATTCGTCCGATTCGCCCCACGGGTGCCTACGTGATTCTTTGCATCGTCTGAAATTTTTAGTAGACCTCGATCCCTAGAATGTATTATGCTACGGTTCTTGTTCTTACGAAACGAATACTTCTCGAAATGCCGGAATTTTATTATCGAATTACATAATTTTTATAAATTGTATGTTACAGTTGATATCCTTGATTAAAGACAATTATATGTTTTCTAAACAATTTTTTAAGAGCCTTTGAAATTATTAATGATGGTGAACAAAAACTAATTTCTTAAATTAATTATGAAAAATGTGACTCGCGTGACAAGTTTCGGAATTAGGTGAAGGTCTGTCTGAACTTTATTCTCTCGCTAAACGGTTCACTCACAGTACCGCTTATACGATCACACATTGATCCAATTTCTTTCCAAATGGAAAGTGTAAATAGGGAGGGAGAAAGAGAGAGAGAGACATTTAATATCAAACATATATACCTACGTTGGTCGATCCTTTGTTTTTTAAGATTTTTTATATAATATTTTTAAGGAATAATTATAAACTTGTCAGGAAATTAAGAAATTCATTAAGGATTTGAACAAGTGAGTCGATTAAAATATGAATGAATATATATAACACCAACGATTAGTGCAATCTTAAATTGAGCATCTCCAAATGTAAGAAAAATCACGTTTTGAAAACCTTTTGGTTTTTATTAGTTAAAATATTCAGCGGACGATTTTTTCGTTTTCGCTTTAAAAATTAAACTCGGTCGTTTTACCGATAAATCGAAGCCCGATACGTTATCGTAAAATGCTTACAATTGGCAAATTTATTTTCGTAATTTATACATGGCGTGTTACATGAAATCACATTCATTTCAAACTACGTTTCGGGTCAAGGACAATAATGAAAAAATAACGTATAGAAATAAACTATGAATAATATGACCGCGATCATGCATAGCTAACAGCGGTCTAATGTGAAATACAAAAAGCCAGATCGTAGACTTTTAACTCTGATCCATCGCGTTGGTTTCATTCATACTGCTTCCGCTGCAATCCTTCTGAATTATTTCGAAAAGTGGTTGCAACTCGGGCGTTGCTTTGATCTGAGTTACAAACTCGCATAGTGACGGATTTTTATCTAAAAAAGAAGAATACGTGAGCTCACAGATTATTCAATCTATATAGCGATTCGAATAAATATTTACCAGCATCTGGAATTGTTAATAGCGCTGCAACTGCTCTCAATGCCGAGCGTTTCAATTCATCTTGTTTCTCATATTCTTGCTTCACTGAATTTGCTTTTACTTTCATTGTACACGTACTCTTCAACGGTTCAACTAACCTTTCCAGCCCTGCACATTAATATTATATAAATAAAAATCACAGTAATATCCTTTATAAGTAATACTTATAATTAGTGGATTTTAGTCCTTTATAAACATTCCAAATTTAATAAGTTGTGATAAAAATAAAATAAATGTACTACTTATTTAAGACTGCGCATATACTATAAATGCATAAGATCTGCGATCTAATAATTAGTGTGCAATATTCACTTTGTAAGACGGCCGTAGGGCACAGTTGAGCGAGCCTGGCCGTCATAAGGTAGGTCAACATCTTGATATCATAGTGATCTCTGAGGCCATTCTCGACGTGGTTTAGAAAATTGAAAACATCCAGCCGATCGAGGCATGAATCTAATAACGTGTACATGCATTCGAATGCTGCTTTTCTAAGATCCAGACCATCGTCTACAGTATGTTTAAACGGTCCCATTTCAACTTCTCTTATCAGTTCTTTCTGTATACGAAAGTGAAAAGATTAATATTCTCTTATGATAGAGAAGTAACATTCGCGCGCGCGCAATAAAAGTATACTTCAAGTACCTTTATCTTAGTTTCAGCGTACAGATGTGGTAACACAGAATCTAATAAATCTCTGATCAACATTGGTTTATTATGAGCTGCCGAATTGAATGCAACTAAAGCTACTCTTCTTACATTCAGGTCAGGATCCTCTAAAGCCACCAAGAAATTGCCCATGCATTGTTTTAACATGGCGTCGATTTGCTGAGGCTGTGAGAAACATTACAATTTACTTATGTATAAAACGACAATATTACTTTCGATGTACCTGATCAGAAATGGTGAACTTGACGGCCGTGACTGTAGTAGTTCTCATGAACGCAGAAGGTGATTTCAATGATTCTTGTAGTTTTGGTAATAAGGTAGCAGGATCAATCAGAGTAAGTTTTCCTAGACATTCTGCGACGACGTTGCGTGTGCCTTCTTCCGTACATTCGCAATGCCTATACAACAACATCCAGATTGAAGGCACAAAGTTTTGCAAGTGGGACACACCGGACAGACTAGCAGATTGACATGTGATGATCTGTAAAATTAGATGATCATATTATATTTCAAATATGTATACAATGTGTCCTGCAAGGACAACCTTTTAGTTGAAGAGATAGTCTAAAATTATTTAGTATACTTTTGCACTTATAATTTTACATAACGTTCTCTACCTCTTTTAACGAATGTAAAAGAAGATATTGACGTTTTGGTTGTGCCTCAATTTCCTTCAATATGAATGGCAAATACTCTGGAAGATTGCCGACTGCTATGTTCCCTAATGTGTAACTGGCTGCCGATTTCACTTCCTCCGAATGGGACGAGAATGAGTTTAAAATTATATGCTTCAGAGATGCGATTCCACTTAAGTCCCTAAATGAAAAGAAAATTAAATAGACATACGTATATTCAGAACAATTTGCGACATTACTTACACGTGTCTGCCTATTTCACCGATGACTAACAGCGCAAAGATGTGTTGTGCGTCACTTTGAGGATTCTGAACGTCTTTTAGAAATTGTTCTACCACTGCTTGAGCTTCCTGATGCCAAGTAATTGTTAACGCAGCCGCACATTTAGCGAGGGAATGATAGGCTTGTTTATGAAGAACAGATTGATTAACGGGCGCTATTAACATCGAAAGCAATTCTCTATATCCCAGACCCTGTATGTCTGCCTGGACCAATGCTTGGAAAAATTCCAGCATAGAAGTTAAGGCCACCCCTGCATTATAAAAATAAAGGAATGAACGACAATGTGTGTGAATGAAAATTCTAATATTATAGCAATTTCAAATACTAATTAAGATTACCTTGGAGAAGTGGAGATTTTACCAACACTAATATTTCTGGAAGGATGTTATCAGACACCCTTGTCAGGGCGACTGGGTGTAACATCGCGATAACGGTGAGAAGATTAAGAGTTAATTGCGCAATATGTAGATCAGTCTCATTTAATAATGCCGGTAGCTCCGTCGTTACCTATTGAACGAAATATTATTTTATTATATACTTTCAATATATGTGGTTGATATTTACTCATATGTTGCTCTTTAATATCCATTACCTTATCTAATAAATCTACGTGAAGAGCAGAGCTGTAATTTTGCACCAAAGTATCTAAAAGTGGTAGGGAACACAATTTCAAAGCTCGTTGATTTTTTCGGAGAAAAGATCCAAGAATTGGAATAGCCTCGTCCTATAGAACGTCCAACAATAATAATACAACGAAATATACATAAAATTCAAATTTTGAATTATGTATACCGTACAATGGATTACACATACCATAATCGGCTTAAGATCTACTCTCAAAGGCGACGATGCTATACAAGTTAAGGCCTTAACAGTCGTAAGTCGTGTTATCTCGTTACGAAGCCTGTCCAGGAATATTGGCAGACATACATGCAATTCATCTGACAAAATGTCCCCAAAGTGAGCTAGAATCTGACCCATGCAAGCAATTGCTCTTTCCTTCACTTCCTGATCGATATCCGCTGTTCTTAGTCTGGTCAATGTGCAACGATATATTTCGCCAGACAATGATGTCAAATCAAAGTAACATGGCTTATCTGAAACAACATGTATCTTAGTTCTGCTAATTTTATTAAATTCGTTTAAACGCAATATTTTGCAACCTACCATGCGGTCTAATTACTTGAACAAGCTGTTGCAATACCAATAACGCCTCCGCTGTAATTTTGTAAAATGGATCTCCAACTGCAGCTATAATGGGTGGTGCTAAGACTGCCATATGAGGATGAAAGACCTCTGGTTGATGTGTGATTAATAACGTATGCACGAAAGCCAGTGCATCAATCTTCATATTTGATGAAGAATTTTTGTCTCCCAATGAGTATTGAATACCAGATATCAATGCCGGTATATGATTGTTTAAAGCACCAGGCAACACGAGTACTAACTCTTTTAACAGTGAAAAACAATCTTGTCTGGTTTTAATACTTTTCTCTTTCATCTGACGATGGACTGCTTTTACTATTAACGGAACTTGCTGTTGAAGTAACGATATCGGACCGTCATCGTCCTCCATCGCATCAGGATCAAGTGGTACTCCAGTGGCTGGTCTAGTTTGTTTCAAAAGAGCGATATATGCATGGAATATATCCGATTTTACGTTTTCTTCTCTTTCTATTAACATACACAATATATTTAGTTAATAGACATTTTTTTGAATACTTTATTTTGTACAAATACCTTTAAATCTTGCAATTAGAGCTGGTGAAACATCTTTGTAAAGTTCTGGGAGAAGTTCTCGTCTACTGGAAACAACAGCCTCAAGACACTTTGCAGCTGCTCTACGAACCTTCCAACTCATATCATCATCGTCTGAATACTCGTCTTCTGCATCTTCCTCTCCATCTTCTTCTATTTCCATCACAGCACCTTCTCCATCAGACGCGTCGTTCATATCATCATCGTAATTATAATTTGGGTCGTATGTGATGTACATCAAACAAATATCTATAATCTACAGAAACGATGTTTGTTGAGTCTGAAGCACGCTTCTACGTCCGTAGCAATATTGTATGAAGAGATATCTCACTTTACTTATATGTGGTGTAATTTCTTTGGGGCATCTGTATACAAAAGATTCAAAAGCTTGTAAACAATATTCTCTCAGTTCATCGTCGTCGTCCACACTGTACTGTAAGATTAGAGGCATTACCCTCCCTATTTGCTCTCCAAATCTGTGTCCGGCTTGACGACTGAAATTTAATAGTAATAGTAGAGAATCACAAGTAGAGTGAGCTAAAACATTTTTCTAATAAATACTTACCAAATAGATGCGATGCATTGTATGTAAGTGCGTACCACATTTTTAGCAGTTTGAATAGAAAGACCTTCAAGCAAATGATCCAAAAGCTTATTGTACAAGTAATTGTTACTCGAAGTCAACAGGTGACTCAATGCTACTATGGTACGTTTTCGAACTGCTTGACGCGGGGAAGAAAGTTGTGGCAGCAGAGCAGACAAAATGATAGAATGGAAGGTGACTAGTAAAGCACCGAATCGAGACAATAAATCAGCTACGATATCAAGAGCCTCAAGTTGTACAGATACATCTTCCTGCTATGTAAATAATAATTAGTAGTTTTTCTTTTATGCGCATAATTAAATATTTTAGCAATTTAACGACAACAATTACTTTTTCGATAGCACTGCTAAGACGACCAGTTATTCGTTTACAAACGTTTGCAACAAGTTCGCTGGATCCTAAAGGAAGTTCGGAGATTACAGTCTTCAATCCGATACTGGAGATATCTCTTAACTGTTCTTTGTCTGATACCATGTTACTGCACAGTGCATCTACAATAGTTTCCACTTGGTACTCCTTTACCTTATTGACTAATGGGCCCAAACTGAAATCGGACACGTTTCTGTAATCATGTCCAAATACAGAGACAATCTTGCAAAGGCAAGAAAGAACTTAACTAGACTTTTAAAATAAAGGAAGTTCTGGATATTTACATCTATCATAAACTAATTTAAAATATACTATTAAAAGCAATGTCTTAATTCTAAGCTTAATTTATATATAACTGTACCATTTTACAGCAAGATTTTGTACTTCTCCATTCTTGTCTTCTAGCAGTTTTAAAAGCATTTTTACAACTTTGCGCTCTGATTCATCGTCCAATTTAATGCTATCTTTTTGTAATTCACTCATCAGATCATTGGTTGCCATAAATCTGAAATCCTTATCGCTGGAAGTCATCTAGAATAATCAAATTTATTAGAAAAAAGAATAAATTTATTTTTTATAATAAAACTAAGATATAAAAGAAAACACCATTATCCACGAAAATATGCAATGTCAAGGTTTAAAATTATCATAAAAGACTATTAAATAATTATAATAATTTTTACATACAATTCCTGAACAATTTATGCTGCTTTGACTCTTATCGAAATGATGCACTTATTACAGCAAACGATTTTCATCTTTAATAGGTAATAGTGAAGAATAGTGGATTCATTCACTTACAAAAAATAAAATCAACTTAGATAAATAGATCGATATATACTCGTATCGAAGATTAACTCACTTTATAAAATCAACAGAAGTTTTTTACACGGATAAAGGTTATGTAAAAATTGAGTATCATTATCGGTTGCAGTATTAATATTTCCGTGTAAGATAATAGCAAAGTAACAAATAAAGATTCGTAATGTCTAATATGATAAAGAGTTCGTTTAAAAAGTTATGATAAGTACCTTCTCCAGCAAGTTAGCAATGTGATAAGATACACTAGCCATGATTGAAAACTTTTTCACAGCCGGTTACAGTTGTCGTTCCCAATATTTCTACTGTTGTAATTCAACAAAAAGAACAGAAAATTTCGGAGATTCCGGAGAACAGGTGACACTGAAATCGAACCCGTTCGTTCGGTCGAAGACCTTATTAGAAAACTTTGTTTTAATGAAATTTCACCGCCCGCAACATTTCAATACTGCGAATCTTTACCGCAACTTCGACTGCCAAAATTTTGATGGTAATTGTGCGTTCCTGAACCTATCGGAACGACCAGGAACGACAGTCACTGGAAACAAATATCATAGAGGAGAAACTTCTGTTGGAATTTTTGATGTTAATGACCTCAAAAATGTTGACCCATGCGCGAACAGGGTTGCCGGTTATATAAGTTGAAATGTACAATCCTTCTTAGACCATAATAGTATATTTACATGGTGGTTGAGATCATGGACAAGTTTCAGGTTCGTTGCTGAGATTCACGATAAGGGGTACTACATGCACTTCGACTATTTTCGTGCGTTCTGAGTGAGGTCGAAATTAGGGTGCATGGTTTCAAATCAAACCGAATACAGCCGAAATGCATGCAATCTCCCCTTACGGCGCATCTCATTATCATCCCTTATCCAAAGTCAATATGCTACATCCATATATGAGCCGTTTATTTTGAAACCGTAATGAAAAGTGGTGATTTTTTAATGCTTATACGAAATTATTTATACTGAGAAAAATATCAGTATCCTGAGATAACAAATACAAGTAAATCTTCTCGAAAGTTAGCATCCATATTTTTAAACGTGCTAATATCGACTTAAAAACAAAGTGACTTATGCCACTTTCAAAATAAACGGCTCATATTCCTAGGACCATGGCATGAAAGAAGACAAACATACTGTGTGCAAGAAATTGACAACAAATTTTGTTTCATCATATCACATATGCAACTGAATATTCGTGTAAAATAAGAACGAATTTCACATTATAAGATACACTAAAAAATCACTACATCCGTCTATGTATAAAAATACATTATTTATTACATATTTTACAGTTTTAAAGCTTCGTAACTAGAAATAATTATTTACAGCCAGACTGCAGATTTTATGCATATATCAATATTAAAAATACAAAGTTCCAAAAGTTTTAGGCATGATTGTTAACTTAAGAGTAGAAACAATATTTGCATAAGCATCCGCAATGAGCTAAACATATTTGGTATCATATTTGAAAAGACATGTTTACAATAACTTATACATTTAAAATACTCCTGGTATCAAAAACATAGAAACCTATTAAACTCACTTGCTGTGTTTCTTATCACATATGTTTAAAAACTTATAGTTTTTGTCATGTATTAATAAAAACATAAATTAGTTATGCTTATGCAATCTACAAAAAATAAATAATTATTGTACTGAAAAATGATAAAAAGATAATATGGCACTGATTGGAAAATTTTGAACTGCAGACTTTTTAATCTGATTCATCTCCTGTCTCCTCACTTGTGTTTTGATCTTCATTCTCCTATCGGTGATAAATTAACGTTAAACATATTTCTTAATCAAGTTACATGTTGAATATAATATATAAAAATATACCTGAGATGTCGAAGGATATGTACAATCTTTGGAAGAATCTTGATTGAGGAAGCATGTAATTGGCTTTTGCCATACAGGTGTCTCTCTTGGATGATATGGATTACCACCTGAATAATTCTTTCCTAAAATAAAATTGTTATATTTGATATTTCAGTAATATATACTATACATAATGAAGAAAAAATGTTTATGCAGCTACTACAAACTTGAAATTTCTTCTACCTTTACTCGTTCCTGCAACTTTTTTCACTGGAGTACTTTTCATGGCCTTAGCCGGTGCTTTGCCGCCAACGGCTACAAAGAATTTAAGACATAATTTTGAAGAAATTTAATTAGTATTCATTAATTTTCTTATGGAAAATTGAAAAATAGGAAAGACAGCGTTTAATTTATCATCTAAAACTTTGAATGACAGAAGATTAAACACCGAATAGAAACCAATATCAAACGCAAACAAAAGAATAGAATGTTCGATGACAAATAATTTTCTACAAAATTTCATCACCTTTGCCTGGCACGCGATCTGCTTTTGTTCTCACCATATTTTCAAAGTTAAAAGTCTCGAATTTGATAAACTAAAATTACAGGAGAGAATAGCGTCACAAATACGAAATTTTCGTTACGATACACCAACGATGCCGACAATATCTACTGATATCCACGTAACTATGGAGACAAGTGCAAACAACTNAATCAAACCGAATACAGCCGAAATGCATGCAATCTCCCCTTACGGCGCATCTCATTATCATCCCTTATCCAAAGTCAATATGCTACATCCATATATGAGCCGTTTATTTTGAAACCGTAATGAAAAGTGGTGATTTTTTAATGCTTATACGAAATTATTTATACTGAGAAAAATATCAGTATCCTGAGATAACAAATACAAGTAAATCTTCTCGAAAGTTAGCATCCATATTTTTAAACGTGCTAATATCGACTTAAAAACAAAGTGACTTATGCCACTTTCAAAATAAACGGCTCATATTCCTAGGACCATGGCATGAAAGAAGACAAACATACTGTGTGCAAGAAATTGACAACAAATTTTGTTTCATCATATCACATATGCAACTGAATATTCGTGTAAAATAAGAACGAATTTCACATTATAAGATACACTAAAAAATCACTACATCCGTCTATGTATAAAAATACATTATTTATTACATATTTTACAGTTTTAAAGCTTCGTAACTAGAAATAATTATTTACAGCCAGACTGCAGATTTTATGCATATATCAATATTAAAAATACAAAGTTCCAAAAGTTTTAGGCATGATTGTTAACTTAAGAGTAGAAACAATATTTGCATAAGCATCCGCAATGAGCTAAACATATTTGGTATCATATTTGAAAAGACATGTTTACAATAACTTATACATTTAAAATACTCCTGGTATCAAAAACATAGAAACCTATTAAACTCACTTGCTGTGTTTCTTATCACATATGTTTAAAAACTTATAGTTTTTGTCATGTATTAATAAAAACATAAATTAGTTATGCTTATGCAATCTACAAAAAATAAATAATTATTGTACTGAAAAATGATAAAAAGATAATATGGCACTGATTGGAAAATTTTGAACTGCAGACTTTTTAATCTGATTCATCTCCTGTCTCCTCACTTGTGTTTTGATCTTCATTCTCCTATCGGTGATAAATTAACGTTAAACATATTTCTTAATCAAGTTACATGTTGAATATAATATATAAAAATATACCTGAGATGTCGAAGGATATGTACAATCTTTGGAAGAATCTTGATTGAGGAAGCATGTAATTGGCTTTTGCCATACAGGTGTCTCTCTTGGATGATATGGATTACCACCTGAATAATTCTTTCCTAAAATAAAATTGTTATATTTGATATTTCAGTAATATATACTATACATAATGAAGAAAAAATGTTTATGCAGCTACTACAAACTTGAAATTTCTTCTACCTTTACTCGTTCCTGCAACTTTTTTCACTGGAGTACTTTTCATGGCCTTAGCCGGTGCTTTGCCGCCAACGGCTACAAAGAATTTAAGACATAATTTTGAAGAAATTTAATTAGTATTCATTAATTTTCTTATGGAAAATTGAAAAATAGGAAAGACAGCGTTTAATTTATCATCTAAAACTTTGAATGACAGAAGATTAAACACCGAATAGAAACCAATATCAAACGCAAACAAAAGAATAGAATGTTCGATGACAAATAATTTTCTACAAAATTTCATCACCTTTGCCTGGCACGCGATCTGCTTTTGTTCTCACCATATTTTCAAAGTTAAAAGTCTCGAATTTGATAAACTAAAATTACAGGAGAGAATAGCGTCACAAATACGAAATTTTCGTTACGATACACCAACGATGCCGACAATATCTACTGATATCCACGTAACTATGGAGACAAGTGCAAACAACTGACAAACGACAACAAACGGTGTCTCCCTCCCCTATTACTGTCCCAAGTCTGAGGTACCAGTTCCAGGACACGATGGTGGCGATTGGCTATCTACATACAGCGAGTACAATAGGCATCTTAACGCGCGTTATTCAAACCATAGTATTTTTGATTAAATAAAATTTTCTTTTTTACTACAAATTTCCATGTGTGTGCGCGCGCGCGTGTGTGTATGCATATATATATATAAAATAAGTGGACAAGTATATAGATTATTAATGAAAAATTCAAACTAATATTTACATATTTGCGTACACAGTCGATGTTTAACGAAATAATCAGTTATTTGTCGAGAGACAAGAATAAGTGTGCACCTACCAATCCTTCCGCAAGATAGGAAATGTAAACAACCTTCACAGATTGGCCATGTTTACACGTAAAAATCCCAAACAAATCTACCGGTAGCAATCCAAGCTTTTTTAGAGTAACGTCATTTGTGAAATATTCAAAGAATGTTGATAACAAAAGAAATTTCAAAACAAGTTTGCTACTTAATTGTTTCGGACTACCGTAAAAAATTAAATTACTATGTGACATTACTGAAGTATAGTGTTTCTGTGTGTGAAAGTGCAGTAGAACAAATTTATTAAAAGTATTTTTTACGTAAAACCGTGGAAAATTTAACAGATCGTCAACACAAACGATGTGCCACGATGAAGTCTGTCGAGTTGTCCACAAAAACCGACAAGTTCCAAGAATTCCGGCAGGAAACATTGCAGAAACGTTAGAAGTAAATGTTTCAAACAGAAACAACAAATAGGAAGTTACACGAAGCTGGACTAGTATGCTACAAGGCTAGGCGTAAGTCATTTAATTAATATGAAGAGTCGTTTGTTTTTGGCGAAAAAAATATATAAATATGCCATTGTCACTTTTGAAAAACATAATACAGACTGATGAAAGTAAATTTGAATCGCGGCAATTGAAAAGGCAGTATCAAGTTTGGAGAAAAAAAGATGAAGCGTTAAAAGCGCGGAGTTGTTTTTCTTGAAACGGTATTAGACAAATTAAAAAATATTAAACTAGTACAAATACTTCAATATTATAAATAAAAATTTAGAAATAGCAATGGTAAAGTCAATGTCCTGAAACATAACACAAACAAAACTAGGAAGTTTTTTAAGGATTCGAATATTCCATTGCTCCTGTCTTGAATTCAATATAAAAACTATACAGTTTATTGGATAGCAAACAATCATTGGATAAGAGAACCGACAAATCCGAATTTTTCAAAAATATTAACACAAAATATTAACTACTGTTATTATGTACTACATGTTACTGTACTATTGTGTGTCCACTTATTTTTGCTCCACGAAAAATAATTAATTATTTTATTAAATGAGGATTATGTACCTAATAATGTAATTATTAGTATGAATTTTTCACTAAATAATCTTTGTATAATAAGAACACAGAATAAATAAAGCTTAGATTTACAACAATAATGCTAATTAGATTAAATTTTATTGATATCTATTCTCTCTTCTTATCTACTTAGTTTTGTTCCCGACTGTATGTACATACTTCTAATACACTAATATTAGAAGGCTATTATATTTAGCCCAGCGTACTCAACAGTACAGCTCTTAACATCTTGACCGCTTTACGACGTTTTTCCAGGAAAATAGGAGTGGGAGAATTACACATCACAAATGGGATTGGATGATGCCAAGGGATTTCCATTGGTAATCCATTGGAATTGTCCAATCCCATTTGTGAAGTCTCTTCTCCGTCACATGGAGTAGATTCTAAACAGAATCCCTGACACCATTGGACACACTAGACACCAATGGACACATTGGCTTTGAGTGGAAATTTCACGAACGGTGGGATGCTGGAAGCTCTGTTCAGCAGTGTGAGTTCTGCACGTAGTCACAGTGGACTACTAGTGTGATCATTTGCCTGCAACGTACATACTATAGAGCGTTCCTCGCATCCGCACGCTCCCCAAAATCCACTTCAAACCACCCACTGTAAGTGTGGCCGCGAGGGACACCCGTATGTTGCAGGCAAATGGTTACACTGGTAGTCAGAGAAATAAGCTACCCAAGGAGTATTAATTCTATTGTTAGTTACTTTTCTGAGTATTATAATTCTGAACTACACACAGTAGACGCGTCATGCTGCTGTGCGGAATTTCCACGCATGTATCACTTGGTCCCACTACTTGCGTAACTTATTTTTCTGACTACACTGATTTAGCCTAATTCGGGTGATGATGGAGCTTCTTTTGGAGAAAAAGTGAAGCCCCGTTCAGGATCCGTGCAACGCTAATTGCAGTAGTAGCAAAACGCTCACACTGTTAGCTATATTACCGACAGTCGATTTCGGCTAATAATTTGAGCGTTTTGCCACTATACCAATTGACGCTGTACGGACCTCGAATTAAGCTTTACTTTTTCACCATAAGAGGCGTTACAATTGTCTACATAGCACATATACCAATTCAAAGATCGCTCAGCCAGCACAACTGGCTCAAATTCTCACGCAGGTGCACAGTGCACGCGTACGCGGTGGACGTATTTGGTCAGCTGAGGTGGGCCAACCTGGAAGTAACCATGATACAATAATTCAAATCAAATATATTTTGAAATTAAATCTTGTTTTTTTTTTGTAACAAATGTTTAAAAACCTGTATATAGTTTCAAGTTAATAAATATGTTATTCATATAATGTTTTTATATCTAAATTTTTCTTTATACAGTTATATTCTTCTTAAAAAAAAGCATTAATGAACTGATAACACTTTCAAACTGCAGAACACGTGAAAGAACTTTTGCAGTTTTATTCAAACGTTTGCATTGTATTTAACGTAGCATTACATTGTATATATATATTTATCAAAGAAAATTTTTTCTTAAAGAGTTCTTATAAATGGACGACATTGCGGAGTGTGTCAATTATTTGATATTTTTTTCGATAACTTAGCACGAGAATCGACGTGTTATTTATATTATCATTATATTTCAGGGTGATGAAAAACATTCGCGTTGCGTACTCCATCGTTAACAAAAAATAAAACAAATGAAAATTACGTAAAATAATTTATATATGTATACATATAACTACATGTATGCTATGTTACATTAAACAGGCCTTTGCTAGGATGACATATAGCTTACATACAACAATTTCTTTTTTGTGGATAGTATTACAATTGGTTCCTTCGCGGACAATGATTGAAAGTATGTTGTATTAATTTCCGTGCAAAAAATATATAGCTATGTTGATAAATATACATCATATAACTTAGTTTTAATACTGAATCACAGAGACCCGTTGATGGGTAAGCAATAAATGATACCCTCGGAAAAGCCTACACACTTCTGTCAACAGTAAGTTTGTGCTTACATTGGAAAAGAAGCAACACCAAAGAATTCGAATGGATATAGTCAGAATAATTTTTCTAGCATTCAACATTTACAGGACTGTGAAGAAGCTGTGTGTGTTCTTACAGAAAAGTACAAGTCTTGTCTAGAACACATTTGACGAACATTCTTCTATTCAGCGCGACACGCAGCGGTATTCGAAACACTGAAAATATGATTCTAAAGAGATAACGCAGAAATAACATTCGAAATTATTATGTACTTATTACTTTCAAATGTTGTTCCAACCGTTTAACAATGCTCGAGAATATATTCTTGATTTTCTTCGTTTTGTAATAACGTGTAAATTACAATTTTCGCTATATCTATGAAATCGAAGGTATCTCGAAATTAACGCTGAGATTCTCCGATTGCGCCAACTTAACAATCGTGGACAATTTAACTGCAACTCGGGCAGCTTCGTCGAGATCGTCGATCGGCACAATCTTTAATCCTGCGTTTGCAATCAAGGCTTTCGCCTCGTCTACATTTGTACCCTAAAATAAGAAAACATTTGAATGCTTTAGAATTTTGTGATAAATGATTTTTAAAAAGGAAAAGCACTATTCTTTAGTCACAATACCTGCAATCGAACAACGACAGGAATTTTTAAACTAAGTTCTTTAGTTGCAGCTATAATTCCCTCCGCAATAACATCACACCTCATAATACCACCAAATATATTAACCAGGAGAGCATGAACCTATGTTGATGCAAACAAAATATTTTCTTTAATTAGATAACAAATTTGTATGGTTTGTTCAAAGAATATTGAATCGTACTACTTACTCGTGAATCGGATGTAATAATTTTAAATGCTTCTTTTACAGCAGAGGTCGATGCTCCACCGCCAACGTCTAAGAAATTAGCTGGTTCTCCTCCATGTAGTTTTATTATGTCCATAGTAGCCATAGCTAAACCGGCTCCATTAACCATACAGCCAATATTGCCATCGAGTGCAATGTAATTCAGGTCAAACTTAGCTGCTTCAACCTCTTTAGTGTCTTCTTGAGACCAATCTCTCAAGGCAAATAATTCTTTTTGCCTGAATTCAGCATTATCGTCGAATCTGCACTTGCAGTCCAAAGCAAAATCTAAATACAACAAAATAATGTTAATTGATACCTTTTCCTATTAATTCTTACTTTGAACTTACAGTTTCCATTAATGTCCTCTGCAAGAGGATTCACTTCTAAGAGAAGAGCATCCTTCTTAATGAACATTTGATACAAATTTACAATGATATTGGAAATATAATCCTTAACATTTTGCAGACCAAGTTTAACGGCAATACGATCTGCCTGTTCTTTTGTAATTCCTTTTTGAATGTCGATAGGCTCGTACATGATAGCGGTAGGATTAGTTGCTGCAACTTCTTCAATATTTACACCACCTTGACTCGAAGCTATTATAACTGGACCCTTAAAGTAAAAGTTTACATATTTTACATTCCTTCCTTATCGATTCGAATTTCATATATTATTCATCAACATACTCCAAAGGCTCTTTCCATCATGACTGCGAGGTAATACTCTTTGCGAGGAAACATACGCTGTGTCACCATCACTGCATTGCATATCCTACCCGCTTCACCGGTCTGCTTTGTAATTAATAATTTACCTAACATTTGACTGGCTAATTTCTTTGCTTCTTCTGGCCTGTAAATAAAATAGGTATATATTAAAAAATGATACACATTTCAATACAATCATTTCTATTGACTTACGTTTCACACATTTTTACACCACTGACATTGGTGTCTTTAAAATGACCTTTTCCTCTACCACCTGCTAAAACTTGCGCCTTCAAAACGATGTCTTTGCTTTTTAAGTCAGCAGCAAGTTTTGCTGCTTCATCAGGAGTTTTTGCAACTCCAAATTTTGGAGTTGGCACTCCAGCTTCGTTTAAAAGGCTGTAGCTGATGTGCTCGTGCACATTTAGATTCCTTACTGGTTGCTTCACTATGTTTGTCTTGCATCTTAGTATCTACAAAAACAAAAAATTAAAAAATTTATTTAACATAAAAGCAATAAACATAGACCATACTATGTATAATAAACATGATATCCTTATTAAATAATTAATTTAAATAATAATGTAGCTATTACAACATCTAATTGATCCATATTTTATATTTTTAATAGTACAAGGAATAATGTCCAAGATCAGAAACAAACATGTTTTAGATACAGAGTCCAACACCTTGTCATTGTCATTGACATTTCATAGTCTCAAAATACTCTGCCTATTAGATTTAAAAATAATCTAAACTTAGAGATCGACCAGTGATAATGACCTACATATGTTATATTAGATCTCTATTGTCCATAACTCGTTTTTTATAATTAACAAAAGAAAATCTGTAGCCAAAGAAGTTTTTTATATTGTGAAGATTTAAGAGATTAAAATAAACCTTTAAAGATATTAAGAAGTTATCTGTTTAAAAATAACATTATCTTCTTCAATTACTGCAATAATTACTAGGTAATTTTCGTAACTGAGCCTGTCATAATTTTCGGAATTTCCATATTAAATATCTTTTCCGAAAATAACGATTTGTTGATAAATATCGATGAAGAGTATGAAGACATACAGAAGGAACTGATAAAGGGAAAACAAACGACGAATGATCACTTGACCAGTTTGAACTTTGAATTTTCAAAAACATGACACTGTTGGTTGTTTGACAAGTGGTGTTTGTTCGGACATAATTCAATCACTGTTAATTAAATACGAACAGACGTCGTAGAGTCAATGACCAATGAATGTATGAACGAACATAGAAATATTAGCATGAACATTGCATAACTGTCATATTCATAATTTGTGAAAAAATCGAGTTTAGTGCGAGGCCGCGATCTTTGGCTTCGAATCGACTGACCCTGGCGCCCAATTTAGCAGACTACAGACATCAAATATGGTGGTTGCCCTTCGTATGAATCATACGACGTATCCGATGAATTTTATTCGGTATGTAAACAAACCAACTATTTCCAGGCGAATAAAAACAAATAGATGGAAGGTTACTACGTGTAAAATATGACCTTAACGTACCTTAGAGCCGTTGAATCGGGCAAGATTCTCAGCAAGTGAGATGGACCGTGACAACATAGTAGCCATCTTACTAAAGCAGTGGCAGTGGACTGCCAAGCGTAAGCTGCGCCTTCATGTCCCCACCTTTCTTGACGTTTCCTGCAAAAACATGACGCAAACTCCGCACGCGTTGAGCCGCGGTGGCGGCACCACATTTCTACTAAGTTAATGATTATTTGAAACAGAAATCATTCACACTATCAGCTTATTTATTTCAATGTTTCAATGTGGCCCTTATATGTGTTAAGATATTCTATACAAATTATCTACATAAATTTATATTTTGACTGTCTACACAAAACTAAATAGAGAACAGCGGTTCATATAATGATTCAAAATAAAAAGTACTGTTACTACATTTACTCAACACTTTAGCAGCAATTAATTACTCAATAATTGAGGGTTCTTTAATAAATGAAATGGCTTCCAGTAGCTAAAATATTAACGCACTGCAAATTGAGAAGAGACCTTTATTCTTTTATAACATTCAGATCCCTATAAATATGTTATACATATAAAACTACGACAATAATCACAGTCTATTGTATACTTTATGCTTTTAAGAGTTTCATTATCGATTTAAAAGTAATTAATTGAATATAGTAAAGCGAATACAAAAAGACTACATATATAAAAAAAAAGAGTAAAAATTATACAATGCTTTTACATTCTTTCGCTATAATTTTTGCTTATTTTTTGCATTTGCTATTCTTATCATCGAATTTCGCTTTGTTTACAAAAGAAATATCTAAATTTAGCGAATTTGCAAACTTCACCATTAGTGCCAATTTTACGGCCGCCTCGGCTGCTTCGGCGAAATCGTCTATAGAAATAACTTTTAAACGAGCATCCTGAATTAATGTCTTTGCTTGCTCCACGTTGGTACCCTTTGTAAGTGAAAAATAAAATGTATTGACTTTTCCAGATATGTATCAAGTGTCTTGATAACTTACTTGCAATCTTACAATTATCGGTAAACTCAAATTCAAGTCTTTCGATGCGTCAATAATTCCTTGAGCAATTATGTCGCATCTCATAATACCACCGAATATATTCACGAAAATGGCTTCTATCTAAAAATTTAAAGAACATTCAATTTATATTATATAAATTAAATAAATTGTGTAAATTTTTATTCACAAAGGCTAGCAACGCGAAGCAAGCAAAAACATTTATTCAGGATGCTCAATTAAATATTTATTTTAATTACCTTTGCGTCAGAAGCTATTATTTCAAAAGCTTCTTTAACAGCTTCTGCAGTAGCAGTACCGCCTACATCTAAAAAATTGGCTGGCGAACCACCATAGAGTTGTATTATATCCATAGTAGCCATGGCTAATCCAGCCCCATTTACCATACATCCTATATTTCCATCGAGAGCTATATAATTTAGATCGAATTTACTTGCTCGGACTTCATTAGGATCCATCTGGGAGATATCACGTAAAGCGAACAATTCTTTTTGCCTGAATTCTGCGCTATCATCGAATGAACATTTACAGTCTAATACATGATCTGAAAATATATAAATTGCTGATCAAATATTCTTATTCAATGAATTATTTATATAATTTTTAAACATACATTCTTCACAAAGATCTAAGGCCAACGGATTTATCTCAAGCAACAAAGCGTCCTTTTCAATAAACAACTCATAAAGATTGCAAGCGATAGTTGAAATAATTTGTTTGTCCTCTCCTTTTATACCCAAAATATCTGTAATTTTATTTGCTTGTTCAACCGAGAGACCCTTCATAACATCAACTGGAATATACGATATAGCTTCAGGATTTGTAGCAGCAATTTCCTCAATATTAACACCACCTTGCTTAGAGACGATTACAACTGCTCCCTGAAATTTGTAAAGGAATTTATTAATCCTTAATCAATTCTAAATAATTTAATTTCTTTGTAAGACTCACATCGAAGCTTTGTTCCAACATAACTGATAAATAATATTCTTTGCGGGGGTACATTCTAGTTGTCACCATTACTGAATTACAAATCCGTCCATCTTCTCCAGTCTGTTTTGTTATTAAAAATTTACCTATCATGTTACTGGCTATATCCTTTGCTTCTTCAGGCCTGCAAAGAAACTACTTGAATTGAATAATACTCTTAACATGGATAATTACTTAATTATTGAAAGGTTTTTAATCAGACTCACGTTTCACACATAACAACACCGCTAACATTGGTACCTTTAAAATGTCCTTTTCCTCGACCCCCAGTAAGGACTTGAGCTTTAAGAACGATGTCCTTTATATCTAGGTCTTTAATCACATTAACGACCTCATCTGGAGTTTTAGCTACTTTAAACGGCGGGGTCAGAATTCCAGCTTTTTTCAACACAGTATATGCAACATGCTCGTGTACTTGTAGCCGTCGAATTTGTTGAAAAGTAATAGATGATCGGAGAATACACTGAAACATAACATTTTCCCGTATCAGTAACAATACGTTTCAATAAAAATAGCTAGCTTAAATAGCTAAAATAACTACCTGTCCCTTTAGGATTCGTGTAATGTTTGATGCAAGCGATAATGTTTTGACTGACATGTTATCAGTAATTAAGTTTGTAGAATTTATTCTTTGCAGAAGACGATCTAATTAATTTGTTCACTTAATACTGCAACGCAACTTTTATGAGAAAACAAAAAGTGACACTTTGATACTTATAAGACTTGCAGGCGAATATGTGCGTAGAGCCATCATAAAGAACGTTCAACTTACAAGATTCAGAATAAACTTCACTACAGAATCTACAGTGTAGATTAAGCAGAGTAGGCAGTGAATGAATGTTTCTTTGTCTCATTACAATAAATGAATACATGTATTTATGTGCAGTCGATATCACTTCAATTTGATAATTCCAGGATATATGTCAACAGTAATTAAAAAGTTCTTTTGTTACAATTGTCTTGTAACTAGAAGAAACAGCAGAAACAGCAAATTGGGAAAATGAATCCTCCGATTAAATTTAATTTTTATATTATTGTAATAAACCTGTGATATTTATCTGTTCTCTTTTATATGCATAGAAGATACATGTATTAAATTATGTTGATACAGTAAAATATAAAAAGTCAATTTACATTGTAATCTATGTAGAATTGAAATACAGATTTTCTTACAAGCGTTTATAATCAAATAATTGTTAACAGAGAGAGCATTGATTTCATACTACGATATTATATATTCATTGGTATGTCAGTTTAGATGTAACTTGATACGCTTTATATGAGTCGGTCGTGTATTAATACCACTCCGTTCGATAACAATATTTTTCTTATTAAACCAGACTTACGGTTATCTTAGGAACTACATCCTTTTTTCTAATGTTCTGATAATTCGTATGTAGTTACAGTATCTCAGTTTAACTTCTTATTATACTTCACATTTCAGATGATGCTTATGACTCAATTATGGAACAAATAGAATGCTTATCGAGGCCTTGAGTTTCTAGAAATAACTCGGTATTTAAGTTGTAAATGAACAAAATAGTAAAACATTAGTATACATTAATTTCTACTTTATAAGTGTCTTGACAAAAAATTTCGAAATGCCATCTCTTGATACATGTTATAATATTTCATCAATTTGGGCAATAAAATCTTGTATATGCAAATGAATCAGCGAAAAATTAATATTGAAAGGAATTGAAGAACAAATGATTAACCATACGTGAGATTCTGAACAAGATATTTGAAGGTAATGTCAAACATTGAAAATAATAGAAATATTAAATTTTATTAAAAATAATATTGATATATATATATATATATATATATATATATATATATATATATATATATATATAT